CATTAAGTAGGAACGCTAGTTATGATGGTTACTTGTTCTCAGGGAGAAAGTTACAGCCAAAATTGCAGCTGCGCAAAGAAGTCATGAGCGTCTCCAGTTGCTAAAATCCTTAGTCAAGCAAGGACTGAAAGAAAGATTTTCTAGTGAAAAATGGAGTATTATACAAGTTCGACAGTGGTCGTGAGCTACTTGTGGTACCCGAAGCATTAGAGCTAGAAATCATACGTAGTATCCACAACAAGGGACATTTCGCAGTGTCTAAAACAGAAGATCTGCTAAAAAACGACTTTTATATTCCTAACCTTAGAAAACAAATTGAGCAAGTTATTTCAAATTGTGTAGAACGTATTTTGTGCAACAGAAAACGAGGTAAGAGCGAAGGATTGCTGAATCCCATACCAAAAGATAGTATCCCTTTGAGCACTTTTCATATCGATTTTATAGGACCATTACCGTCGACAAATAAGAACTACAATCACATCTTAACCGTGGTTAATGCATTCACAAAGTTCGTGTGGCTCTATCCAGTAAAGTCTACATCAGCTCAAGAGGCATTGCAGAAGCTGAAACTGCAGCAATCAACTTTCGGTAGTCCTTTGAGAATTATAAGTGATAAAGGTACGGCGTTTACCTCTAAAGACTTTGAAGATTACTGTAGTCAAGAGAAGATCCAGCACATATTTACAACTACAGGCGTTCCTAGAGGAAATGGACAAGTTGAAAGGATTCATCTCACTCTGATTCCAGTCCTATCTAAATTATCCATAGATGATCCAACCAAGTGGTACAAATATGTTGGAGATGTACAAAGGATCTTAAACAGTACTAAGAGCAGAAGCACAAAGAGTTCTCCATTTGAGCTTCTCACTGGTGTTAAAATGAGAAATCGAGAAGACTTAAAGATTATGGAAATTCTTGAAGAAGAAGAAAGAAATATTATGATGAAAGATCGAGAAGATATGAGAGAGGAAGCAAGGAAAAACATTCTAAAAATTCAGGAAGAGAATAGAAAAACATACAACAGAAGAGAAGAAAGAGGCACAAGTATACAATGTGAACGACTTAGTTGCCATACAAAGAACGCAGTATGGAGGTGGGACTAAAGTTAAGGCCAAAATTCTTCGGCCCATATCGTGTAACAGCGAGGAAAGGCAAAGATCGTTACCAGGTGGAAAAAGTAGGACACCATGAAGGTCCTGGATGTACCACTACAGCAGCTGATCTCATGAAGCCGTGGACTTCTACTATATAGGACTATGTGTGGTTCTTCCGCACTTCTTTCTTTTTGTTTTTTTTAAATTTATTTTCAGGTGCTGTCTTGATGTTCCAGTGTTGCTGATGCGTGTTTTCGTGGTCGAAAAAGTGTCAGAAAGGCCGAGTTGTAGTATCTGGAAGTGCGACACAACCACCAGAGGGCCTCACCGATGCGCCAGCAGCGAGGTGAAAGAGGAGTATGACAGAGACTCTTCTGCTATCCCAAACGAAGGTGGTGAGATGTCTGTCTGCACGTGAAGGGTTAGAAAAGGAACTGTAGTTCTCCACGCGAAGGTGGTAAATTGAACTGTTTAATACATCAGCAAGTGCGAGTAGGCACTAATCGGTTATGTGATAAGACTGGTAAAAGCTATACAGAATGTATCAAACGGCACTTGTATTTAATCTAATTTGTACCTTTTCTGATTATCTTTATTAAATGTTCTGTGGTGTGGAAAACAACGTTGGAATTGTTATTTAACATCTTCAACTCCCCCACTACAGAAAATATATCAGGTAAAACTCTTCACAGTACCTAAATAAACTTCAGATTATTAGAATGAATTTTATTAAATTTATGAAAAACGGTTGAAAATACACATATCGGTGTTTACATACTACATTAGTAGAAGTTGCCAAATTATCAGAATGTACCAAACTCTGGCAATCAAGTGCAAAACCATTCTTATGTTATGAGATAACCATCCTCATAGCAATCGTTAGCCATGTAACACTGTCAAATTCATATGCTTTCATTTTGTCATATTTCAAGTTTCCAACTGTTTTTAGAGACAAACCGTGATATTTTTTGCTTTAAATTCAACTTTAAAACAGGTACTTCTAAAGTTTTCTAGCAATGGTAGAAAACTCAGCAAAATTGCCAAAGGAAACAACTGCTTTGAATCCATTGTTAAATTGATGACAAAATTTTCTCCGAACTAAAAAATAAAAACCAGCTTGTAAGTGGGTTTATTGATTGATTTTTAGTATACAGAATATAAAATGTGTAAAAATATTTATGTACATAATAAATGTTTGCAACTGAATTGAATAACTTAGTCATTATTCTCTTTCCTCTGTAAAAAGTCACCAAATTGCACCAACGTGGTTTTTTATTGTGTTAATATGCAAGTACCAATATATCTTATTTACTTAAAACACGAAACTTATTTGACTCTGATTATTCTTCCCAAAATTTTCAGATGATCTTGAAGCTTCCAGCTAGCAATATTTATGACCATAAAAACTATCACTTAATCACCTATTACCATACTCCAATGATCAACCTAAAAATCATCTACACAAACTAGTTATATTACATGTATTAGCCAAAAATTTTTAAAAACTCCATTGTGCAGAGTCGGGTTATGTGCAGAATCGCCCACTTATATGGCGCATATCGATGTATACATGGACAAAATCAAGGGAGTGTGCAATGCCAAGTTTGTGCAATTCTCTTATGTTTTTTAAGTGAAAATAGGTCGCTGTATACATAGATACCGAGTTTGTGGAATTCTTTGACTTGTTATTTTCAAGTTGATGCAAAATCGGCCACGTATATGGCGCATATCAATGTGTACATGGAAAAAGTCAAGGGAGTGTGCAATGTCAAGTTTGTGCAATTCTCTGATGTTTTATAAGCAAAAATAGGTCACTGTTTACATGGATACCGGATTTCTGCAATTCTTTAATTTGTTATTTTCAAGTTGGTGATTTTGAGAAACACACGAAGCAGTGGGTGATTTTGCACTTTCCCCACATAATCTTAGTTATTTTTAATTAAAATTGAAATAATTATTACTGAGATTTTCAAAACAGTCTACACTTTTTTATTGACTTCTGAAGAAATTTACAAATTCTTCATAAAAGCTTTGCTCATTAATTTGATCATTTTACATAAAATTTGATTAAAATAAATTTCAGCTGGCAGATGAGTAACCTTCAGTAGCTGGCCACTTTATTATTATTCACTGCATTCCTAATCATAACATATCAACAATCTTAATTCTAACTACTTAACATGATTTTTGATTAATTAGAAAGGACTTCCAAACACCTTACAATATTTTTTAAATAAATTCTTTAAAAACCTTTCATCAATACCCAGATATTGTAAAACTAAATGCCTTTAAGTAACAGAATGAATTACTTTTAGGTAAAACTTTATATACTATTGCTAAAATTTCTAAATACCACTGAAATCTCCCCTATAAATCTGTTTTAAGTAAAAGAGTGCAACAACCTTTGTAGAAATATGGCTTAAGGAATAAGCCAGGCATTTGTAAATAAAATAAATAAATCCACATAAAAATAACTAATCTGAATATAACTGGGTTTAATCCTAGTATCCGGTGCACACGGGATGATGAGCAGTAAAAACGGGATATATACGATGAGTAGTAAACGGGTCATTCGAAGAATATATATTAGTTATACGTAGTATATACTACTATACTACGTACAACGTGTTTAAGTCAAATAGTTTCGTGTTTTAAGTAAATGGGTCATTCGAAGAATATATATAGTTATACGTAGTATATAGTGTATATACATTGTATATACACTATAGTATATAGTATACATAATATAGACGTTCTTTGGATCATGTTTGGTGTTGGGATAATTTTCAAAATCGTGCCAAGGCTGCACCGTATAGTAGGATTTTACCAATAACTGTATACAGCTTATAAATATGCACATGAGATTTTGATATTAACTTATCCAATGTATGAATGCTCATAAAAGATTTGCATAATTTCAATAAGACTTTCTTGTTTTATAATATTTCATGAACTATTGTTTCAACATCTAAAAATTTATCATTATACCATTTTAAAATATACCATCATTAATTTTTTTATTAATCAACATTATTCCCCCCCCATAATTTCTGAAGACATTCTTTAAATTACATTCACTTTTGGAAAAAAATAAGAGTCACTATTCCTTTAACTATACTACTAGTAATAAAATATAAATATCTTTCAGTCCCACTATTCAGCAAACAAGTCCTCCACTTTTTCAGTAAATGAGCATACACACATAGTAAAAATACAGGTAATTTGAAATAATACAGAACATATCATTTATCCAGCACATGCATTTCAAATCCAAAATGAGCACTCGGTTACGTATGGAAAATTTCTAGTGACTGACATAAGAGTTAACAAAATTTAAAACGTAATTGTAAATACCGTATCTGGTCAAATGACAATAACCACAACCATACAAACGATTTTCATTATTAATATTACCATTAAAAAACTTTACATATCACTGCATTAGAAATTATGCATTCTAAAGTACATTTAATTTATGCAACGATTAAATTCCCCCTTTCACACTGCAAGATTGTTGCGAAATTAATTTATACCAGATGAAATCAAAAGCAACTTTGAAGAGTTAACAATAAGGGCCATTTACTGTTTTGGAAGTTGTACGGGAAATTTATCACATATGGAACAACACTAACCAAGCATCCCTGCCTATATGTCAATAACAATTATAATTAATATTTTTGTACATGCACTCATACTGTAAATACGAGATATGGTTTATCTTGTAAATAGAATGATAAATTACGAAGCTAAAATCATACTCCTCCCATCAGCTGAAGTTTTCAGCACTATGTAAACAGTTTATTTCACACTCATATTCCACACAAAGCGCTACGTATTTAAATATCATACTCAAACGTATACTACGAGTAAATTTTTATTGTGATCACAAAATAAATGTATAATTACGATTCGGTAGGTCAACCAGGCGCCATTTTGGGAAATTCCGCTTCATAACAATAAGGTTCTTATGATTATCATACAAAACAAAACAGTACATCCACAGTTAAATAAAGTAATAGTTTGTCGCTTTAGTCAAGAAATTACAGCATTTATTCATGTCAACTTACTTAGTTTTAACACCTTTTGCACACCATAGCAACATTACAAATTACTGGGAAAAACCCACACATTTTTATTGTTGCCATACAATGATAAAAATCGTATTTATTTTTTTGCTGTCTACATGTGGCTATCACACAATGCAGTCGATTATCTCATGGATGAACTTTAATATGGATACATAACTTTAATATGGATATGAATATAATATGAAAAACATACCATTTAACAGTCAAGTAGCTCTTAAAGTTCATCGGGATAGGTCTAAAACATAGGATCCACGATTGAACGAAAAAGGAATATGATAAGGACATGATTATCCTCTAAGTCATATAACACGACTTCATATTGGGAATAAAGAAATTTGTGAGTCTCCGTGACAGTCGAAGCCACTTCTCCAGAAGCATAGGAAGGTTCAGGGAACGGAAAAGCAAGTTGTGTTGGACCCCCCAAGAACACTTCACAAAAGAAACACTTCTTCAATTTTCACAAAATTGCTCGAAAAACTCTTCTCAGTATAACACAGTATAATTAATAGTTACCCCTAAAAACTACTAAGATCGTTAAACACAAAGGAATGAAAAGCGCATCTAAAGAGCGAAGCTCACATTGAGATCTCTCAGTGCTCCGAAATAAAATACTGAGAACTGATATTCCCTTCGGTCTTATATAATTTTACCCCCATATTCGAGAAATTCCTAGTACCGGCACGTATTAACCTCTTGACGTATTAACGCAATCTCTTGACGCAATTTGGCTATATTTTGCAGATGAGGTAAAAGTTACTTATAGAGTAAAAGTTAGTGGCTTTTGCGTCCTTTTCGAAATATTCCGAAACTGTCGATATTTATCATAAGTCGTTAAACAATATCAACGTATGAAAAGAAAACATACTTTAGCAATCAAATCTTTCTGCAATTTTTTTTACATTATTAATCTCCCAAAGTATATAGCGATCTGTTTTCGCTTTACAAAACATCAGACAATTACGGAGACTTGGCTTCATTCAATCCTGGACAGCTGCGGCTATTGAGGAAACGCATTTCCCGTTGTTCATTTTAGAAATTTTTCAGCAAAATTCTGTATTCTTGCAGAAATTTATCGCACTTTCTTTCATTGCTGGCAAATTCCACAAGCTGATATTTTAAAACCACGATTTGTTTATGACAACCCTTGGACTTTGGAATACCACAGAAAGGAACGCATACGAAAATGGCGGTGGTGCTTGACTGAAGTACTGTTGTGAGCGTGTTTGCCACTTTCTAAAAACATCACATTGGGGATTCTACAGACGTGATTGAGTTCATATACAGTTACAATCAAGGAAACTTCCTAGGTTACAATATAGGGGTCAAATCAACTACAGTTACAAAAGAATGGACCTAAACGTCGCCAATTTTGGAAAATTACTCACTAAATACGGCAGCAAAGATCAATCGCCAAGTGCTAGTTGGCAAAAAATCCATGCAGTTCGTGCAGATACTTTTTAGGGTTTGAATGTATTTTTTGGGAGTATTTTGAATTTAGACAAAAGATCATTCAAAATTTCGCGAATAAAGATTGTACGTAATTTTTTCTATCGATGCTCATCGGTTTTATTCTGCCCCCAGCTGAGCATCGAGGACTTATTTACAAACTAATCACTCTCAATTTTCCAGATAATTTTATTCGCTTAATAGCCTCTTTTCTCAGCAACAGATCTTTCAGAATCAAAATCGGTACTGCTTACTCTACCACCAGAGTAATCAATGCTGGTGTCCCTCAGGGGTCGGCACTTTCGCCTTACGTTTCTAATATTTATACACAAGATATCCCTAAAGACCCTTCTGTTCATCTTGCACTCTTTGCCGATGACACCGCCATACTGCTAAAGCCTGACTTATCGCCGAAACACCACTTCAACTGAAAAGGCTACCTGAGAAAAATGAAAAATAGCATTTCGTAAAGAAAAATACATCTCCACCGAATTTGACGAATGATGATATAACAAACTTGGTCCCCTACCAAAACTACTAAACCATTTCCGGTCCGTAGTACAAAAATTTAAAATCAACCGCAGCTACTATGCGACCTCTTCTTGGTAGAAAAAGCAACTTATCTACTACAAATAAATTAATTCTATATCGCTCCATACTGCGCCCAGCTCTTCTTTATGCAGCACCGATCTGGGGACATGCAGCTAAAACCAATATTAAACAATTACAAATTCTACAAAATAAAATTTTACGAAAAATTATCAATGCTCCTTGGTATATTCCCAACATCTATATCCACAGAGACCTTCGAATGGAACTTATTCAAGAGTATATTAAACGATTAGCGGTCAACTTCTTTTATTCAGTACAAACCCACAGTAATAGCCTTATTAGCACTCTCAGACACTCCCCGCGTCCCAGAGAAAAACATCGCTACCCTTGTGATATCCTCCCCACATAGGATTCACAACCTTAATTGACTCATTCACGCAAAACTGACTCTGCGGTTTTACCACCCGCGGCTACATCTTATAACGACACTGAACTTGACACCTCCGCTTTTTCGCCGCCGCTAGTGCGGACCTCACTCTCTTTCTTCCGCCTCCCACACTCCTTTCACCCTTCTCTTTCTCCCCCTCCCGATCTTTATCAGAAGTCGAGTAAAAATATGTTTCTACATCTTGACACACGAGAATAAAATACGATCTGTGTGTGCATACGAAAACACATCGCTCATTGTGATCAACATTTCGATAGATATGACAAAACTACTGAATAATATTTTTTTAAAAAATGAAGTCGCCAGATAAATTTAAAATGCATCATAAAAATTGGCAAGTTCCAGAGAAAGATCGTTAAGTATTAGGCCCAAGACAATCGCTTAGTTTGACATGGATTTTTCAAAAACTGTATCGATTTTCAGATCAGACACTGATCCATCTTCTTCAGGAACACACACACACACACACACACACACACACACAAAAAAAAAAAAAAAAAAAAAAAACTTCAGAGTTTACTTCCTGTTAAAAAAATTCTGAAAACATCTACGCTAAACTAAGGTAGTTCCTTTTTTGCATAATTTTACATTGGCAAGTTCTTTTCCAATGAAAATTGCTCCTCAAGTAATAAGATGATGGATACAGAATTAAGTCAAGTAATAGGTAAGTAAAAAATAAAATAATGTATAATAAAATACGGAGTTTGACTCAGTGGTGCACGCATTGCATAGCATAGGGATGGACTGAACTATGGAATGACCTAGGGCTATGAAATTTTGTATGCAGTGTTGTCCGTATGATGAAAGTGCGCCCCTCAATGCAATTTTTTTCCTTTTAAATTTAATGTTGAAATGATTTGCTGTGGAACTTCCACACATATCTTTAGGAAGGAATTAATAATCTCAAAATTTCACAACTAGCACCAATGGATAGAATGGTAGATTTTTTAAAATAAAATTTATTCCAAACCCCTCTAACTTATTTTGATTATTATGGACACATTATTATTCGACTGCTGCACATCTGTTATTTTAAAATTCAAAACTGCGTTCATTTTGAAACTTTACATTTTTACAGATTACAGAACAAACTCGTTATCCTTTTTTCAAAATACGAATGATAAAAAGAATAGTAATTAGGAATTCTTCATAATTTTTTTCAAACATGCAGCACAATGACTTTAAATGCAGGGACTGCTTCTTCTTCTGTTAAAAAAATCACGTTAATTACTTTGTGACAAATTTTAGTATTCAGAAATCACATCAATTTTTAGCAGTAAATATTTGTCAGCTAATAATAATGAATTTTTCAATAAAAAGATTAAACTCCTTATTTGTTTTCAACCTCATGATTTTAAGCATCGATCAGACTGAATCGCTAGATTAAGCAGAAATTAAGTGAAATGAATATAATCTTGTGCCATAGCAGGGGCTGGAAAGATGTTCAGATGTTCGGGGAAAGGGAGGATCTTATGGATACATGAAAATATGGAAGTTGTTCCAAAAGTTGGTTTTGTTAATTTTATTATTATAAATTTACATTATCTTTATTTTTGATAAATTTAAATAAAATTAATTGGTTATTATTATTATTAATGTTTCATATTTGGTGTCACATTTTGTTTTCCATATCCTTTTATTGCTCATGGACAATAATTACACTCATGTCCATAAATTAAGAATAATTCGGAGTCACGCGGAAATCGAACTCTAAAATAAATATATCACCTGTAAAATTACTACACACATCTTCAAGAATTATATGCAAATTTCAGGAAGTAATCAGATGACACCGAAGGTATATCACAATGACCAGAGTGTAAGAGAGTGATATATAAGGAATACAGGCAAAGAAGTAAAATTGTTCGCAGGCGCTTTATAAGCATTTCACTGCAATAACCGAACAGTTATGACACAAAGGACGCATTTGGATGATTTTTTACGTGGTAGAATTATCGGCCGTCTGGAATGTGGGCATACCCAACTGGAAGTATCAGGCGAACTTGGAATTGCCCAGAGTGTCATCTCCAGGCTACGGCAACAATTCCAAGATGATGGTAATGTGAGTAGACGTTACAGTTACAACGTTGAATGAGGACCAGTATTTGGCAGTTACTGCCAAAAGAAACAGGTGGAGCACAGCCTGAGACCTGCCTCGTCAGCTCTCTTCAGCCACTGGTACGACAATTTCAAGGCAGACCGTGTACAGACGCTTAGGGCAGATTGGTTTATATGTTCGTAGACCTGTCAGATGCGTTCCACTTACTGCAACTCACTGTCGCCTGCGGTTAGCCTGGAGTAGAGAGCATGCACTGTGGACACCACAACAGTGGGCTTGTGTGATGTTTTCCGACGAGTCCAGGTTTAGCTTGCAGTCTGATTCTCGCCGGACTTTCTTTCATATGGAGAGCTCCAGGTATTCGTTACCACCAAGAAAAGCATCATTGAACGACACCGTTACG